AAATACGGTTGACAGTAAATGGAAGACCTTCTGCACTTCTATATACTACATATTCTTCAATATTTCTATACGTTACTCCACAGATGACCTATTAAAGAATTTTAAGTAGATAATTTATATGCCAGATTTATCCATAAGACTGTCATGAGAAGAACTGAGTTAAGCATTTAAGATATAAGATAGGAAGACCAGTCAGGAGACTGTTTTCCATAATCCTGATGAGAATCTGAACTAGGGCAATAATTTTAGGATAAGGAATGAGGAGAGTAAAAATAAATTTAGGAGGTAACATTTGCAAGATCTGGAGATCTGGATATGGTATTAAGAGAGAAGAAGAGTTTGGGTTTTCGGCTGGTGACTAGATGGATGTTGCTATCCTTACCTGAGATGACTGGAAATTCAGAAGGTGCAGATTGACTGGGGTGGGGGGCAAGAAAACAAGTTCAGTTCATTTTGAAACAAACAGAGTTTGTACTACCTGTGGAATCTCCAAAAGGCTGAGTTTAGTATGCAATTTTATATATATATATAAATGTTTACATATATATAGTGATCCATAGGGTTTTCACTGGCTGATTTTCAGAAGATCACTAAGCTTTTCTTCCTAGTCTGTCTCAGTCTGGAAGCTCCACTGAAACCTGTTCAGCATCATAGCGCTATGCAAGCCTCCACTGACAGACAGGTGATGCCTACACATGAGGTCCTTTGGCCGGTATCAAGAATTCTACTACCAAACCACCACTGCCCCCTCTAACTGAAAGGCCAGCGGTTCGAACCCACCAGCTACTCCACAGGAGAAAGATGTGTCAACCTGCTTCTGTAAAAATTTATAGCCTTGGAAACCATATGGGCAGTTCTACTCTATCCTACAGGGTTGCCATGAGTTCGAGTCGACTCGATGGCAATAGACTTGGTTTTGGAGTTTATAAGTATATATGCATAAATACATATAAATATGTGTGTGTGTGTGTGTGTGTGTGTGTGTGTGTGTATATATGGAGTCCTGGTGGCACAGTGGTTAAAGCACTTGGCTGCTAACTGAAAGGTCGGTGGTTCAAACCCACCAGCCGCTCCATGGGAGAAAGATGTAGTGGTCCGTTTCTGTAAAGATTTACAGCCTTGGAAACCCTATGGGGGCAGTTCTACCCGGTCCTATAAGGTCGCTATGAGTCGAAATTGACTTGACAGCAGGTTTGGTTTGGTTTTATAAATACACATATATGTGTATATAGACATATAATGTATATGTAAGAGAAGAGAAAGAAGAGGAGTCGGACAAGGGCAGTATCCTGGGAACACTAAGTGACACAAAGAAGAGGTAGAGCCACAGAGACCAAAACAAGCAATAAAAAATGTATTGTAAAGAAAGACAAAGGGATTAAGAGTTTTAAGGTGTAAATGATCAACAAAGTCAAATGCAGCTAAAAGGCCCGTAAGATATTCAGGGTAGTGGTATACTGGGTAGATGAGAGAGAATGAAGAATGAAAATGCAGAGATAAGTACTGAAATAGAAAGAAATGAGAGAAATATGGTTTATTTTGTACTCAGTCGCCATTTCTTTATTCCTAAATTCTCATTTTTAAGGCCTAATTAATATTAATTATATCAGGAAATAAGAAAAAAATTAGTATTACAAATATTTATATTAAGCAATCCATTTTTAAATATCTTTGTTGTTACTATTATGAGGAGCTATCCTTTACAATATAGTAGTATAAATTAGTAGCTTAAGAATAGAGAAACAAATACAGAAAAGTAACAAATTACAACCCAAAAGAAGCTATGCGAGAGTCAGCACTAGAATATAAGTTATACATGCTCTGGTCCTTACTTTAGCTAAGGAGATAGATGGTTCTTATTTAAAGTCCCTATAGGTCTAGAATGGTAATATCTAAAAAATAAACATGTATTTAAAAAAAAAAAATTAGAGTTGAGTTCTTATCACTAGTTGTACCTTGCAAAAGTAGAAAAAACTGTGATTGGGGGAAGGGATTTGTTTATGCCATATAAACAATGCTTTATCAAACTGTTACAGAAAATTTATGAATACCAAATATTTAAACATTACAGAACACCAATATGTAGAATTTATTTTTAAATGTGTAGTTTAAATAACCATCAGTATGTCCTAGCTTCTATACAGTTTAGGACTACATAGTCATTATACAACTAAGAATGTGTAAATGTTATATAATAGATAAACTTTGTACATTGATGACAGACTAGAATTCCTATCTATATGTCTATACAGTATATACTTCTTGAAATACCAATAATGTGGTCAACCGTCAGTATCAGATATATAACTCTTGCTAGATAATTGCCACTTATTAAATGCCAATTATGTACCAGAGACTGAGCTAGGCACTATTCATGCAATATCTATAATTGTCACTAAGTCAGTGATTGTTACTGCATTTTATATATGAGAAAGCTAAGGTTTAAGTGACTTGCCTAACACCACATAGCTATTAAGTGTGCAACAAAATTACTTCAGTACTCTTATGAATCACTACTAGAGTTCTCATTTCAGGAAAACTGCTATTACCTTTTTTATATAATAAAATTTTTATAAAGCTTATAAAAACTAATACACACACATAGTGATGAGATATAGTACTGTTACAGTCTTTCAAAGAATGTGACTTCTCTCCTTGCAGGCTGTAATTTTTTAAAACATGGGTCCTTAATTTATACATTCTTTACTCTTCAAATCCATTTCATGCAGAATAGAAATTCAATAGGTACTTACTGAATAAGTAAATGAATAATAAGATATGAGTTAGCATATGCTCAAACCAATGGACTAGGTTCTTTTGCTACCACTTAGTTATTTATTCAATCAACTAATATTTATTGAGTACCTACTATGTACCACATATGGTTGTTGGTGCATAGGTTATAACATTAAGCGAAACAAACTACCTGTTCTCACAGATCTTGCATTGTTTTTTCAGAAAAAAATCCATTTGATTTTGAAATTATGATGCTTACTATAAGCCTTAAAACTAGAGGTGAGTGAATATGGTTCTTTTTCCATAGGCATTTGGATTGAATACAACAACTGTGAACTCCTATATCCATACATACTACTGAACAGACTAAACAAAGTTATGGAGCATGGAAGCAAGATGATAAAAGAGAAAGGAGAAAGGGTGTGGCAATTGAAAAACTATTCCATATATGAATTCTATCAAACTTCAAAGAACAGATAATGCCTATCTTATGTAAGTCTTATAGAAAAGAGGGAGAGATGTTCAACTCATTTTGATGAGGCTAAAGTAATGCTGGCTTTCAAACCACATACGAATAGTGGTTATAAGCCTTTGCAACTTGAAAACATAAATACAGAAATATATATATATGTATATACATATGTATATATATACATTTTAAGGAGTTAAATTCCACAGATGTTAAAAAAAAATAATAATACTCATCATGAAGTTGGGCTTATCTAAAGAATGGACAGATGTTTTAACATCAGAAAAATCTACCAATGAAATTCAGCACATTCGTGAACTAAAGGATAAAAATCACAGGATTATCTCAGCCTATGGAGAAACAAATTCAACAAAACTCAACACTCATTTATGCTTTTAAACATTACCAAGAATCTAGGAATAGCTAGATAAAGAATACTTTTAAAAAATCTATTGTAAATATGAATTAATGGAAAAATATTAGACACATTCTCCTTAAGATTAGAAATCAGACAAGGATGCCCACTATCACCTTACTGAAAAACAAAGTAATGGCAATCCTAGTCAAGAGAATAAGACAATAAAAAGAACAATGAGATATAGACAGGAAAAGAAACAAAACTATCATTATTTGCAGAAAATATGATCAACTACACAGAACACCTATCATAAACAAAAAACAAACTATTATAACTAAAAAAAAGTTACTTCAGAGAGGTTTTCAGATGTAAGATCAATTTATAAAAATTAATAGTGTTCCTCAATAACTAACTAGAAAATAAAGTAAAAAATGCCAACAAAAACTATAAGTATTTTGATATTAACACAAAAAGAATGTCCAAAACTGTTAACCAAAAAAAAAAAATCTTAATTAAAGAGTTTAAATGAAAATTTTATTCTTCCATGAATGAGATGACTCAGCATTATGAAGTTGTCAATTCTACCCAAAATTCATCTATAAAGAAGAGAAGAGGAAAAGAGAGGAAGCTACTCGGTCTTTTCCGAAATTCTGAGAGACTGTCACAAAATACTTCAGGCCATAAAGTCCAAAAACCAGTGTCCCAAACTGTCTAGAGTAATGATTAAGTAACAATATGTTAAAAACAAAAGAAGAAAACAGATAAGAGACTAGGCAATAAGACATACTGGAACATATTTAAAACAACCTGATACAAGATTCACTGAACTTTGCTACCAAAGATATCAGTAATGAACATCTCTCATCAGTTTCTCTTTGTTGATACTTTAGCATCATGGTTTAATTTTCTGATTGCCTCTGTGTCTGTCTGTGTGTTTGCATATAGGTGTATTCCCAAGATGGAGAAAGGGGCCATTTCTTAAAATTTTCTTTAACAACAATAATATTTTTCCCCTAGAAGTTTTATTTTCCGAATTCCTTTACATGACAAAAGGCATAATTGTACTCAGGAATAAAAAAGTAAAGAGTTTATTTTAATGAGCAAATTAGGCTATTGTTATTTAAATAACTGTACTATTAAGAACAAAAATCTGAATGTGCATATGACTATTTCTAGATATATCTACTAATTTGCTGATGACTGATGGAAATTAACATCACTAACTTTAGCTATAGCATATTACATGACATACATAAATAAAAGATTCAAGAAGCAAGAAAATAATTACTTCTTTTTTTCTAATTAATACTCCTTAAACAAGAAATAGAGCTTCGATCCCTCATTCTTAATAATAAACAGAAAAACTAGCAAAAATTAGAAAGCAGAGTTTTGAATTCAATATACACCTTGATTAGCCAAAGCCAAATGAAGACTCACCAGTACAGAATATATGTGTAGACATCGATAAACAGGAGAAAAATCCACCAAATCTTGGGCCCCAGGTACCTGAAAACAAAACAAAAATTATCACAAAATATTAAAACAGATATTAAGAGAAGATTCACTTTTAGTACTCAAGTGTAAAATACAAAAAAAAAATCAGCTCTAGCTTCTAAAAGAGAAATACAAAACAAACAAATCCATGCTTCCAGGTACCCAATTCTGATATTTTACCAAAGAATTAATAAATTGTGAAAATATACACCAAGGCTGAGACAAAGCCCACAACGATGGATAGCAGAGAATAGAAACAGGTTATACTGGTCCTGCATTTGCTTTTAGAGCTACATCTCGGTCCATCGGCCTCCACTGTTGTTGTGTGCCATCGAATCTATTCCAACTCATAGCAATTCTATGAACATGGACCTCTAAAGGGAAATATAAGAAACATGGGGGAATGTACCTTTGATAGCTTGACTTTGTCTTCTTAGATACTTGGTGGTTTACATTTGAAAAAAAAAAACAAAAACTAAGTTTCAGTGGCCAAAAACAAAACTTGCAAATTAAATTGCCTGCCAACCAACTTTTGAAGAGCACGAGAATTAGTGAATACTTAGGTCAGCAGGCAATCAAGACACAGAAATATGCTAGGAAGAGAAGGGAAATCATATGAAAAATACAATAATAAATGAAAAAGCCAAACCTAGAAGTAATACCAGCAGATTATAACGTGGATAATGCAGGTAGATTAAACCTAGACATAAAAAGAAAAAGTTAAAAAAAAGAAAAAGCAGTTGAGGGAAGAACTGGAGTACAGTCTTGGTGTTGAAAGTGATTTGCTATGTTATCTGACAATGAGTCAGTCACAGTTTAAGAAGGAAACTCTCAGTTGACATACAGAGGACACTGAAAGTGAAATGCTGAACAAACAAAATGAAAAAAATATATATAAAGAAATAATCAAAATAAACACCCATCAGAAATTCCCTTATTTCATAAAGTAAACATCATTTCTTCTTTTGGAACACAGCTTCTTCACAAGGTAATTTTCCTAATGAAGTCTACTTGTTCTACTATTTAACCACACAATATCTACTTTCTTTTCCTTCTGAAATCATCATATCTCTATATTCACTGGTTCAAATTTATTGACTGCTCTGTTCATCTGCTCTGCATACAAGAAGGCAGAGATTAAATCTCTATGTTTATAAAGGACCTCAAAATGCTATATACTCAGTAAGCACTCAAAACAAACTTTTACGTGAGCCCAAAGATTGATGTTAAAGAGCTCGAGATCCTACACCATGACCCAAGCACAGTTTTACTTAGAAAAAAAACAAAAAAATCAATCAATCAATCAACCAACTAACCAACCAACCAACCCTTAGAAGAGTTAATGAGCACTGCAAATGTATTTTATGAACAGATGGGCACCATGTAGTTAAAGACGAAGTAGGATAAAAAGCATCAAAAATATTAACTTTAAGAGTACAAATGGACATTCATTTTTATCTTAATAACACAAAAAGAGTCAACAGGTGGTCATTTTAGGGAATCTTGTTTGAAATGACCATAACATTAAAGCATCTTTACAGTCTTATTTCTTTGGGTGCCAAGTGGAGATTTAGAGTAAATTCATTTTATCTTGCCAGCAAAAAAAAAAAAAAAAAAAAAAAAACTTTCTAAAATTATATTTACAATAGTATTTATGCTACATAAAAACTATACATGTATTTTTAAAAAGACAAGAAGGAAGTATATATTAAAAAGTTTGATGTGTGTTGGAAATTAAACTTTTTTCTTTTACTTAGAATCAATGGTTTTAAAGTTATCATAAATATACCTACTCCTCACTTATCGACTATCTCATTATCTGACATTTCACATTTACAACAACAGTAAAAAATCTACTATCTAACTATTTTGCACTCTAATGATGAATGTCTGGCAATAACGAACACCAAGTTTTGAGGTGAGAGTAACACTGGCTGTGATGGTTAAGATTATCTGTCAACTTGCCTGGGACATGATTCTCAGTGGTTTGGCAGTTAAGTAATGATGTAATTTGGTAGTTATGTAATAATGTAATTTGGCAGTTATGTAATGATGTCATCCTCCATTTTGTGATCTGATGTGGTCATCCTCTACTTTCATATAATGTTGATTTTTGCATAATGACCTGGTCTTTGGAACCTAACCATGTCAATAAGTGAGGAGTGGGTGTGTATATATATATATAAAAAGCTTAAGGAAATTTTCTTACCTAGTTTTGAATAACAAATTCAATCATAACTTTGCTTATATGTTCTTAACACAGTTTATTTATTTTGTTTTGCTTTTTCTGAGAGTCATAGTTGCCTCTCTCAAAAGGAAATTGCTTCTAGCCATTCTTCAGACAGAGTCTTATCCCTTTCACACGTCAGACCAATCCTTACAGAATGAACATGCATGTTAGGGGACAGATTACCTAGAAATTTATGAGTGAGGAATAAGCTAAGGTGTCCCTTAATAAAGAAAGATGCTTGGTTAGTAATGCACTGAGATTGGCTTATCTGAGGAGACTTTAAAAATGGAGTTATTTAGAGAGGGAAGAAAAGCCTTTCCTATCATGTCCAACAAGTACTTAACAACCAAACCTACTCTCTGTGAGCATCTCCTGACATTATCCTACACAGTTTCACACTGTTCCAAGTGTCCTGATAAGTATTTGCTCTGCTGTTTCTTAGCCTCTGGAACCATCATTCAGTTAAGTCCTCCTAAGCACATGACTGTCCGCTTTGACAGCAGTACACAGAAATCTAGACAAAAAAAGAAGGCACAACATAAGGCTTCGGTTCACAATCCCTACCTCCACTCCCAAAATAGTCTAATATTTAGAAATCATTTTTTCCCTGTATGTTCCCTTCTCTGGGGAACACTAAGATATGTCTCCTCCCAGAGGAGTGCTGTGAGGATAAAGGTATGTAAAGTATGCACTGACTCATGTTGCTCTGAGCTAGATGTGTTTTCTCTGCTTCTACTAATGAAAAAGAATCACATCTACGGAAAGGCAAAAGGAGAAAAGCAACATACACTCTACGTGAAGGAATGCTACGTGTTTGGAAGGATAAAAATTGAACTTTCAAAAATCTAAATAAATGGAGGCGAGGGAAGAGTACCAGAACAAAAGGGAATTTTCCTGACTCACATTAATAGGTCTGTTTTAAGGTCCACATTTCGCTCCCCATTTAAAATGCTAAATCTCTGTCAAAGCTGTCTTCATTCTTCTTCCCCTGCTGTCTCCCTCCGTCCCCTGAAGTTGCAAAGAATGATTCAAGCAGGTTTAGGTTTCAGCTAGGGGCCAAGGGAGGGGTCCAAGGACACTTTCCTAAGCTAACAATGACTGTCTCTAATGGTTTCTGTCTCCTAACAAAAGCCATGACTCCCTTCTTTATCAGCTTCATCTAATTTTTCCTTTCCAAAGTAAATAACACAGGCCTTGCATTTTACACATGTCCAAGTTTGACAAATCATTATCGACTGAGACTATAACTGATAAGAGATAACTTTGTGGTAGGACGTTGTCATTTCCTCTCATAAGGGCTTTCTTTCTGAGATACAGAAACATGATTAAAATAGTTAAACATTTCCTCTGCCTGGCAGTCAGGAACTCAAGACATTAAGATACTGGGGTCTGCACTTTTCTAGAAGTTCAAATAGATCTATGAAGATACCAACAGCAGCTACAAACAGTGTACTCTAAATTATCCTACTTTTTTAACTAGTTGATTTCTTTAAGAATTCACATGAAATAAGTTCATCACCAAGGACAGCAGCTGCCTTAATTCCCTGTGTAGTTTCTAAATGGAAAGCCTTCTGCTTGTTCAAATGTATTTATTTTCATGGAGGACCAAATAGTAGGTAAGATTTTAAATTGTGTAACTAAGATAACTTTGCCTCAGAGCATGTTGTCATATAAAAACTAAGAAGACTTGGATACATTTAAAAATAACAAAAATAACCTATTAGAATAATTTAGGCGTAGCTGAACTACAATATCTAGAGGTAAACATCATGGAGGCACCTACTGCATTCTTCCACAATTACACATTCACATACTCACTAGAGATCATGTATCCACTCGATACCAACACATCTGGCTAATCTGTTTCAGTACAATGATGCTTACATTTATATGATAAATATTAACAGCTTCAGTCAAATGTGAACTATAAGGTTGCTATGAGTTGGAATCGCCTCGACAGCAATGGGTTTTTAGTCAAAGCAATATTTCTTAATTTTTGTCTGTGGAATATTTGCTATTAAGTAGCATTTATATACAATAAATAAACCAGCTATCACAAGATGCCACTGTATGTTGCTGTTGTGTTGTTGGGTGCCATCGAGCCAGGTCTCATAGTGACCCTATAGGACAGAATAGAACTGCCCCACAGGGTTTCCATGGAGCAGTTGGTGGATTTGAACTGCTGCTCTTTTGGTTAGCAGCCAATTTCTTAACCACTATGCCACCAGGGCTCTGTCACTGTATAGGATGACTGAAAAGAGTCTGGAGATAGGAAGCTAGGAAGTGAGAAAAGCAGCTTTATAAGTAGGATTAATTTATTTAAAAAAAAAAACAAATTGAAAATAAAGTCTTATGAGCCTCTGCAGACAATACTTACTAGGGAAGATGCAAAGATTCAGAGTAAAACTAGAAATACTAGATGTTCAGGAAGAAAAGAAACATCACCATTTCTTGCAAAACATCAGGATCTCACTTTTATGATATGTTTTTCTTCTTCTCTAATACAAATTCAGTTCAGATAAAAAAACTTCCAGAAAATAGAACGGTAATGGCTAAGTTACTCTAGTAAAGGATAAGAAAAAATGTTTTTACATATTAAAAAAAGATTTTGATTTTAAAATAGATGCTACCTCAAGTTTTGATACATTTATTTAGTATTCTCTAACAGACACCCCCTCCTAAAAAAAAAGAAATCAGAGTTAGTAGCTATTCATACTATCTTAAAAGACTCACTAGTGAAAGATGGCAGGGAAACAAACCTGGTAAATCTACCTCTTTACTG